TGAGGCTTTGGTGCTTTCAAAACATATTGAGTACAGTGGTGTGTTAGACTCCAGCCAACACTATGATTCGCTGCTGTAATCCTGCTTTTGCTGTTTCACTCTTGCTCTGCTGTGTGGCTGTGTGTGGTAGTATTTTTATATGTGCAAACACCCATTAACTGGCCTGAATCATTGTGTCTCCTCCTCTTGGGCCTCTCCCCCTCTTACTGCCAGGTTTAAACGATGGCCGCTCTCGTTCCCATGTCTAACGTTTAATAGATTCATAAATGCTCCCCACCCATTGGCCAGAGTAGGCCATTTCATCCAATTATAGATTAGCATACGGCTGAGTGCAGGAGGAAGTGCTCTTTATATGCTAATGAGGAGAAAATGTATGCAGCAAGGAACAACCAGTGCCCCAGTGGGAGGACTCAGGGTGGCCCGATGTGTTGAATCTTGAAGCTCTCCTGTCTTTTCACACTAATACACAGACTCCTGGACTGTGCTGTTACTATACTACTATATGTTTGACTACAATGTATTACCTATTTACTAATGCACAGTGTACATATGTAGGCTACATAGGTCTTATCTTTTATTCCCACTCTTTTACTCTATTGTTTTATTAACAGTAGCCTACATAGTACTTGAGCTTAACTTTTTCTACCTCATAGGCCTATTCTGCTCAATTTCTATTACTACTACCACTTTCTACTTATTTTCTTCTTTATTGCTTGTGATCCATCTGTCTTTCTGTCTAATAAAATAGACTGTGTAAAGGTGTAGATGCCTGAAACTCCAGGAGCAAAATGAATATGTGTTCCTTCTGTACCTGATGAAATGTGTGCCTTTCACTTGACATAAAAAGCAGTAACAATGACAGAGAGAGAATGTTTGCATAGAGTGAATTAGCTTTGTTATGTGCTGAAAACATAATTTAGCCCTTTTTTTCCTTCGATTTAAGGATAATAATAAGAATAATCACCTTTATTTGGCCAAGTATGTTACACACAAGGAATTTGTTTCCGGTACAGAACCAAGGCAGCAATCTGCGGCACCAACTGAACCAATGACTCTAACCAGTGGGGGCAACTTTAGCTACACATATGGTTAGCATAGACTTTAAAGCGATCATTTGACACTTTGGGAAATATACTTGTTTCCTTTCTTGCCAAGAGTCCAATGGGAAGAACAATACCAATATCATCTCTGGAAATTATGTAGGTACGTTTAGCAGCTGGTTAGCTTAACTTACAATAGCATAAACACTGGAAACAGCAGGAAACAGCTAGCCTGGCTCTTTGTGAGGGTAATAAAATCTGCCTACAATCAACTCTAAAGCACACTAACATGCTGTCTTCATTTTTTCCCAATACAAAAAACAGAAGTGTAAAAAAGTCAATTTGCCATTTTCTCAGGCAGTTATTGTGCTGGACTATTTCTTAGCTGGGAGCTGTTACCAGGCAACCAATGGAGTCTCCAGGAAGTTATAGTTATAACCAGATATAAGGTGAGAGGTGCTTGGTAAGCACATTTTGTTATCCTCAGACTAGCTGTTTTCCACAGTTTTTAGTGTTTGTATTACTGTAAGATAAGCTAACTAGCTGTTAGCAAAACGTACATACTTATGAGACCGATCCAGGCTAGCTAGTTTCCCATGTTTAGCTCATCTAAACTAACCTGTTGCCTAGTTGTAGCCTTATTTTTAACAGACAATTAAGAGAGTGGTCTCAATCTTCCATCTAACTCTTCACAAGAAGCCAAAACCCCCTTTTCACACCCATCAAACTCTTCCTTTAACTTGCTTAATTGGCAAGTGATTAATTTGCTGCTTAACAGTTCATCTGACTGAGTGTCCCCTCCTCTCTGTGCAGGATCAAGGTGTGGTGGGAATGTCACGACCACCGGGCGCCATTCCTCCTCCTCACCCCACTGGGGGCGTGGCCACAGGGGTGGGCCCCAATCAGGGGTCCGGTCCACCTCCGGGCTACGTGGGGAACCAGCAGCAGGCAGCCATGATGAAACAGATGATGGCACTGGAGCAGGAGAAGAGGGTGCAGATACACATGATGGAGCAGCAGAAACAGCAGCTCTTCAGAGAGCAGAGACAGCAGCAGCAGCAACTACTGGCTGAGCAGGTGAGCTTTATATAAGTCAATGTGCTTGTAGCATAAGGTTAATGTGTCTGTGTGGTGCTTGTGAAGCAAAAAGGCCCACGTGATTCATCTGTCATGCATTAAATTATAATTTTCTTGTGTGCATTGTTTGTTCATACATGTTTATCAGTGACTGCAGCTCTAACAAGAGTGGTCCACCATCTCTTCTTTCTTACTGTTGTCTGGTTGCATGTATCAATACCTTGAACTAGCCCTCTCTTTACTGCTTCTTTACTCCTTTTCATCTCTGCAATGCCTGCAGTGTGTGTGCATGCGAATGTGTGTGTTTTTGCCACATGCCTCCTGCTGTGATAATGTGGTGTTTTCTTTTTATTTCTCTGTCTGTGAGGGAATCAAGTGTTAAAGAGTTGTGAACTTTGAAGTTACCACCCACTATGTTGGTTTTAATTGGAACTGCAAAAACGTACACATACTCATAAATATAGGTGTCTGAAATGAGACACATCCTGCTGGGGTTTAGTGTATGTTGTTAATTGGATATCATACCTCTGTTTAAATGAGAGGCACTGTCTCCTGTCCAGGCACACATTCAGTAGCAAGGACCCAAGTTGCATATTAAGTTGTTTCATTTAATTTTAGGAGGTAGGCATCATGCAAATACTGTGCACTCATCTAATCATTCCATACCAGATCATCAGACGTGGGGCAACTTCTACTATACCAAAACATCTGCCCTACTTCTGCTGTACCAGATTACCTGTCTCACCTGTACTTTACTAACATCTGTGTCATCTTGACTTTGCCAGCATCTATCTACCAAACATCTGGCTTACTCCTACTGTACCAAACATCTGTCAAACCTAAATTGTACCAACATCTGAATGTATTTTACAAAACATGTCTTGGCTCTACTGCACCAGACATCTGTCTCAACTCTACAGTGCCATACCAAACCACTGTCTCACCTTTATTAGACCAATTTCTCTGTCACTTCACTATGTGATCATTTCATCTAACAAAATAACAAAGTTGTGGACCAAAAAATCATCTTGAGTTACATGATGTTGTTATATTGTGGATTTCACCGGTGTGTGAGTCCCTGCATGCAGACTATTTGATGCATGATTTTTAACCTAAATGACTTTAAAGGTTTCCATGTCTGACTCTGTGCACATGTTGTACTTTTAAGGAGTTTGCACACTTTAATTAATGCATTTAATGCCTGCTTGCTTAGGAGTCTTCTTCTCCCCAGTCTGCATACTGTAACGCTATTCAATTCTGTAAATGAAATCACTTGTCCAACTGTTTTTGCAGTCAGGTGTGACCCTGTCCTTGTGTCTATCCTGTATCCTGAATTCATGAAATATGTATGGAGTTACAACCTACACTTAACAATATGTGTGTGTGTGTGTGTGTGTGTGTGTGTCTGTGTTGCAGCTCCAACAGCAGCAGCATCTCCCCAGACAGATGAGCCAGGGCCAGAGGAACCCATACCCCCAAGTCAATCAGTACCAAAGTGAGACACACAAACGCATACATTCATTTCATCTGTGCAGCACTATATGCAAAGACACAAGAATGGCAGCACCTTAATAGATTTTCACATACACAAGGCAAGATCTGACCTAAATTGTTTAGCATTGTATTGATGACCACATTAGCGAATGGATTTTTAGTGAATCAGCATCTGGTTCTTTGCAGGGAATCCAGATTGTTTGCACAAGGCAGGCTTACAGACATGCGTACTTGATCTGCAACAAGTATGGTATATATGGTAGAATGCCAAGATATTTAGACAGTTAACAGATTTTACAGTTCACTCGCCACCATATTCACAGACAGATAGACATGCAAACAGATAAAAGCGTGTATGCAAACAGCAGCGTTGACAGAGCATCACCCTGAAATCAAATCTCGTTCTCTCTGTCTATGTCTGTCAGATACATCAGTTGGCACTCAGATGCTCTTCAGCCTCTTTCTGTCTTTCTTCCCCCCTCGCTCTCTCTGAAAAAAATGGAATATTCCTGTTCTGCCTGTTACCACGGCAACTTGTCTGTCCTGGATCCCCCAGAGTTCCGGTGAAGTCAAAGAGATGGATGAGAGGAGGGAAGTGGGAGCAAGGGGGAGGCAGTAAGAGGAATAGGTAGATGGTCTGGTAGGTAGAAGGAGAGGCTGGGAAGGCAGACAGAAAGAGACAGAGAGAGCAAGATGAGTGGGTGAGAGGATGATGGAGAGATGAAGAAAATACAGAGAGAGAGGAGGAGAGTCAAGTTGAAAGCCATTTATAGCCATCAGAGTCTGTCTGCAAGTCTAGGAGATAATGTGGAGAGGAAGAGGGGGCTTCAGCATCAAACTGTGGCCTAGAAATGTGACTGTTAGTTCGTCTCGCCTGCAGAGTATCAGTGAATTAAAAGCAGTGGTCATGCTACTGTAGAATCGCCATCACCACATACAGTATTCATAGTCACTGGATTTTTTTTAAGAACAGTACAAGAATAGATGTGGCTGATTAGCAGTGTTACATTACCTCCAACTCTTGTCACTTCCTGCTTACCTACAAGCCTGGAGTATGTCATATTCTTTGTTTTCATTGCTCTGTTGTAGTACCAGTCTGACCTGTGAGGTGATGGATTAGTGGATTGATGTCAGAAGTGGGTTTATTAGAGGATTTAGAGGCATTTTCATGATAGCAGAACTCCTCAGCTCTGCCACAACCTCTAATAGGAAAAAGTGTATTTTTATTTTACTGCAGTGAGAATTGAAGGGAAGTATTAGTTTCCAGAATAAACAGGTTGTCACAGAACATAAATCTTTGACCCTGCACTGAATTATTAGATCAATCTTATGTGCCATTTGGTGATTTAAGTAGCTCTAGTATACAGGCTTCAATGCTTTTTACATTGAAGTTGAGCTCCTTGGTCAGTTCTCTCTCCATATGCCTCTCTAATAGTTTCCCAACTCCACTGCCTCTGTTCTCTGTCTTAACCCCTCTGGTTCTTTTCTTCTAGGTCCTCCTCAGGATTTGGCATCCAGGAGCCAGGCCCTCCATAACATTCGGGCCACCCATCTTTTACAACAGCAGCAGCAGAACCAGCAGCAGATGGTCCAGATGAATTCTGTACAGGGCCAGGGGGGCGCTGTTTGTCCCCAAACTGACATAGGACTACCCTATGGCAACCAGGGGTCAAACCAGGGTTCCCTTTACGGACTCAACTCCTCCATGAGCCAAATGATGCACCAGCAGCAGCACCAGAGCCAAAGCGTCCAAACCTCCATGGGTCTTCCACCACAGCACAACCCCACACAGCAGGCAGGTGCGGGTCCTGGAATTGCAGGTATGCCTGGAGGCCCCGGAGGTGGTGGGGCTGGAGGATACGGGGGACCAGGGATGTTAATGAACTCCATGAGCCAGCAACCCCTCAAAGGCCCTCCCAATGCCAAAGCCCAGGCACAGAGACTGCAAAGCATGCTGGGAGCAGGAGGAGGTGCCGGGGGAATGGCAGCAGGAAGTTGGACACAGCAGCAAGGACAGAGTTTGCAGGCTATGGGGGGAGGAGTTGGAAGGACTACAGGAGGAGGAGGAGGAGATATGGTGGGGTTCACCTCGGCCCAGGGTTATGGGATGCAGCCGGGTCAACCCTCGCGCATGACCAAGCAACACTTTCAGGGCCCAGGTCAGAGCATGAGCCAGGGGATGAACCAGGGGATGGACCCCAGGGTGGGCAACCCAGCAGCAGGTATTGGCAGCCCTATGATGGGGCCTCACATGGGTGGTCAGCCCAGGACCAACCAGCCCCGGCCCATGGTCATGAACCAAGGGATGAACCAGGGGGTGATGGGCCAGGGGATGACTGGGATGGGGGGTTTTGGGCCAGGCCCTGGGGGGCCAGGAATTGGGGCAGCGGGAGGAGGAGGAGGTGGACACTACGGACCAGGGGGAGTCGGGGTTGGAGGTCAGCCACAGGGCTACCAGAGGACAGCCAATCAAGACATGTCATCTTATGGTTATGGGGGCGGGCCCTCAGGTGGAGGAACCTTCGGACTGGGCGATGGCTCAGGGGTAGAGCTGGACTCAAGCGATGGTTGGATGGAGGAGTTTTTCCCAAGCCAATAGCCAATGGGGAAATTGGAGATGGTTTTTACTGGATGAACTAAAGATAAAAGTTGGACAATTGCTAACACCTGAGAGCGTCATACGAAAAGGATGACATGACGTGGTCTGGCATGTTTTTGTTTTGTAAAACATGAGCAAGCTTATAAAGGAATTCTTGTAATGTTTTGTGCGCGCGTGTGTGTGTGCGTGCGTGCGTGCGTGAGATGGAGAGAGCAATCATTATGTCTTGTGGATATTAATGAAAAACCAATATAGAGATTAAAAGGTGTGTTTTATTAGTTCCCCTTTTTCTCCATGGAATGAATTTTTCTCATGTCCCAGTGTTTGAAAGCGAGCCCCGTTTACACAGCAGCGCTTTGAGCCTGAGCTTTGGTAGGGGCTGATTGAACACCGCAGCCTGATGAAGAGGAAAGAAGACTTGTACTCAAGACAGCAATTATTTGTGTTTGTGCCACCCAGCTCAGTGCTTCAGATCTCTCAACTATGTGAGGAGCTGAAGGGAGTAGAAAGCACTCTCAACAGTCCCATTTCCTCTCTTAAATTTGTGCGCCTCCCCCACAAACACTCCTTTGTCTGTATAAATTGTGAACATCACAACAAAACAAATTATGTTCCTGTATTTTGGCACAGAAGCACACTCTGCCCTCTAGTGCTACTGCTAAGCAACTGACCTTGGTGTCATTTTGCAGGGGGGGTTCATTTCCTGTGTGTGTAGCTGTGGATGACGAGCAAGCATATAGAGGAAGACAAAGAGAGTGAAAAAGCAGAGAAACAGAGAGAATAGGCAGCTAAAGCAAGCACTTGGACTGAGACGCGTACACAAACATATATATACACAAACCAACAAACAGATAAATGAGCATCAGCCCGGGAGAGTGAGTGGATGTGTGAGAGGCAGCTAACAGAGCTAATATTACATTAAACCTTCTGCCTGTGTGACACAAACCACATCACATGCATCAGGCTGACACCAAGCAAAATGACTGCTGGGCAATGAATGTATTCAAGCACCACAAGTGACTTCTTCTTTTTAAGGAAAAAAAACACTCCTTGAAAACCCCACCCGCATTGTTTTGTTTGTTGCTGTGTTTTCTCTCTAACAATGATGCTGGTTGTGTCTTTGACAATTAAAAGGAAAAAAAATTAAATTATCCTTCTTTTAGCTTGTGTTGTCTTTTGAAAATCTGTTTGTCCTCCTGTCGCAGCACAGCCTTCCCTTCCATTGTGACTCGGCTGGTTGTCAGTAACTGTAGCCTGCTTTACATCGTGGCTTCTCCTGTACCACAGCTATAAAATGCCCTCGTCCCAAACTAGAACATAACTGTGCTACACTGTAACACTACTGTGAAGAAATACAAGTTGTCCCCTTCCAGTGCTTTACTAGGAAAATGAACCACTGCTAAGCCTTGAGTTTGTTTATAGACATGATTGAAACTTCACACAGCTGCTCAGGCCTAAAGGGTGATGATGGTTAGCATTACAACAATCAGTGCTTCCACTGAAGTCAGTGTCTCCCCTTCCCTGAGTAAACTGTAGACTTTACTCCCTGGCTTTTATTCATCATCAAGCTGTCCACTCTTGCCCTGATGTTTGAGTAATAAATATGTGTCACATAGGTTTAAATACTGTAGTCGTTGGTAAGATAACACCTTACCTCTCTAACTGTTTTGTGATCTTGGTTAAAAGAGGAATGAAAGTGTGTCTGTACATGCATTACTTTGTATTTAGCTCATCAGAGTGAAAGTCTGGAGAATATGCTGTAATCAACAAACCAAAAGGCCTTCTCTGTAAACTAACTCTTTGTCATCAATGCATTTGTTGTCATGGTTGTTGGTGTTGTATAATCCAACCCTTTAAATACAAACTTTAATCACCGCGCCCATTGTCCTGTAAGTGTTGCTGCATTTGGTAGCAACCACAAATGAGGTTCTATACTTTGGCTTTTTTCATGTTTGGGGAATAGAAGTCCTCCGTCTCACTGTGTGGAGCCTGAAGGTCAAGGGCAGGCAGACAGATGTTTAGGGTTGTAGCATTATCAGGGGAAGATAAACTCTTGGATTTTTTGAGCCTTCCATGTGCAGGAAAATAGAGGAGTGCTCCACTGCTCATGCTTCCAAAACGTACAGATGCTAGTCAAGTACTCCAAGCAGGCTCAAATATAAATTCTGAGTGTTGGACCAGTGAAATGGAGCCAGTGTGTATGAAAACACCAGGGGCTTACCACTCCAAACAGGAGGTAGAAAGGTAGAAAAACATGTCTGGGTCAGTGTTAAGGTCACAACCCTTGTGACCTTTTTTGTCTTTTTCAAAGTAAGGGTATGTGGTATGGCTTAAAATCCCTTCAGGAAGAGAAAGGAAGCTTCCTCCAAATATTATGTACTGGGACCAAGTCTGTAGACAACATTTTAACAAAAATTGCTGTTGATGTTCTTCGTTTTATTTTATTGTTTTTTTTTTTTGTATTGTTTTTACTGGTGCTCACATATATGTGATTATGAGAAAAACTATATAAAAGATAATGGCAATTTGTAAATATGTTTTTACAGGTTTAAATACATCAGATAATACAGTCTCTACTCTGTAAAGAATTTACTGTTTGTTGGAAAAATAGAGAAGTATTTTTATTTTGAAGTTTTTTGGTTTCATTTTTAACCCATCTGAGCTATGCCATTGCACTTCAGACAATGTCTTACTACTAATTTGTATTGTAAGCCTCCTGTCTTTCCTGCCTTTTTTCATTTGTTTATGTTTTTTTTTCTAGTTTGAGATTTGACTTGTTCTTAAGCAGTGCTTATTTCTTTTTATCCTGTACAGAATTCTGAAATGTTAACAAAAAATAATTACAGATACTTTTTTGGTTTGTTTTTCAAAAAGATTCAATAAACAGAGAATGATTCTCACTGATCATATTAAATGAAAATTTGTGTTGTGAATTGAGTTCATTTGTTAGTGCAGTCATTAGCTTGTTATCTTGCTTTAGTTAACCTACTGTTATAAGAGTTTATATAGTGGTCCTTCAGTGTCTGGGTGATTAAATATACATAGGTATATGGGAAAACGATTTTTGAGCCGCAGAGTTTTTTTGTTGCAATACCGCAAGTGGCCACTGAAACAAATTAGCAGCAGGGGTAAGTGGTGGTGTCGTATACAGTTCTCGTAATTCATCCAAGTCCATGTTAAACAAACACACACACAAACTCTGGACCTACCCATGCACTGCACATGCATGGACACACTCATCTCCCTAGAGAATGTGAAGATAGCTCACACTGTGTTGAATGTTGTGACGAGTACTCCATTTTGGGAGGAGGTGTTATTTGGCTAAAAAGTTGCTTAAATTGTTTAGATCTCACTTTACTGGCTATGGTAATTCAGAATGGATAACCTCAGCTGACTGTAACTAACTCACAGCGGACCTAGAGATCCCACTGATGACAGCAACAGACACTCAGTTTGGGAGCTAATGCTAGCTAGCAACTGTCAGCAGCTAACACAAACACTGCAGACGAATTAGTTTCTGTCCTGTCTGCTCAAACTGGACACTGAAGTGGACACATGGATGTAGCTACTGTATGTAGCTGAGTGGGATAGTATTTTTTTTTAACTGTGTTGGGGAAACTACTTTGAAAATGTAGCTTCACAAACTATCAATTACTTCACACTGGAAGAAGTTAAGCTACAGCAAAACTGCTCAAACTGGACACTGAAGTGGACACATGGATGTAGCTACTGTATGTAGCTGAGTGGGATAGTATTTTTTTTTAACTGTGTTGGGGAAACTACTTTGAAAATGTAGCTTCACAAACTATCAATTACTTCACACTGGAAGAAGTTAAGCTACAGCAAAACTACTCTGGAGAGAAATGTAGTTTGGTAAAGTTACTTAGAAAATAGTTCAAACTACTTGGTAAAAAGTTATCAAACTTACAGTGTACATGTGATACAAAGCTATAACAAAAGAAAACTCAAATGCAAGCAGAAAATGACACTGAGTTTATTTACATGAGGCAAAACACTTACTCCTAAACAAAACAATCACATCTAGGCTTTTCACAGTGACATTATATAGTTCTTGTACACAAATTATATAGGTGCACCTTGACCGTTTGACTGTCTTGAGCGCTGGTCTAAAAATATGAACCTGTTGTGTTACTTGCCAGTTTTGCAACATCTGACTTGATCTTATGCCTTTTAGACCACATGAGCAGCTTGAACAATGGTCTAAATGGGCAAGACTACATCTCAGAACAAAATCTTTTGTTTGTACTGTATGTCACATGAGGAGTCTTTCGATGTTCTTATCCAAAAGACGGTTAGGGTTAGAGAAGCAATGGTAAAATAAAAATAAAAAATCATTCCCTTCCTTTTATGGCCCAAAATTACACTGCCCAGCCACTTTAATAGTCACACCTTTACAATTGTATGCAATTAAATGCAGAATTTCCACCTTAACATTTGTGTTTATGGAGCTCAAAATGTTTAAGTTCTTGGTGAAATTGTCATAAATGTGTAAATTCAATTCTATGTTTATTATTGAGGGCATAGTTAACCTCTAGAGTCCCTGCGTCCTCATATTATATGATGGATAATGAGGGTGATCACCCCAAAATGGCTCATTTACTCAAAATTCAACATGGCATGACAACTTCACATTCGCTATATGCTACATGTGCAACACTCTAAATATGAAAAAAGAAAGTAAAAAGGAAAGTAAAGGGAAAACTCTTAGTAAGTAAAATGTTTAAATGTGTGCCCACTCACTCACAAAAAACAGTGAAATAAAAAAATCTGATAAATAAAATATATTTGTGAAAGATAAAAAGGAAAAGTATCACTTGGTGATTATGGCTCATTTCAAGGCTCCATACACAATAGCACTGTGTGCATAGACTGTATACGTACCCAGTTAGTCATTTCATTTCAAGGTCATAAGACCGATGGAGACAAATGTGCACACACATTCCTAAAACCAGACAGACTAACTGCTGCAGTAATGTTTT